CAGAGTGTCATTATGTTGCCTTCAGTCTTGGGCTTAAGTAATTCTCTTGCCTCAGCCTCCCAAGTAGCTGGGATTACAGGCACCCGCCACAACACCTGGCTATTTTTTTGTTGTAGTTGTCATGGTTGTTTTTAGCAGGCCTGAGCCAGTTTTGAACCTGCCAGCCATGGTATATGTGGCTGGCGCCCTAACCACTGAGTGGCAAGCCCAATTTCTACTTTTTATAGGTAAGGCTTTGGAAAAGCTGTTACCTAATAAATGGTGAGGGTGCATTTCTAAAAGCTCTACCTTAAGCCTTTGGAGCTCTGATTTCTCAGTATAGCACACTGCCCTTCTCAGCACATCCTTTGAGCCTCTGCATCCTATTTCTTCTTTTATGGTGGGTCTAGGACCAGTTACAGAAGTGGATTCGTGGTAATGTGAGTGCTTGTGCGAACTCTGTTTTCATATTTGATGAGATGGATAAATTGCACCCTGGGATCATCGATGCAATCAAGCCATTTCTAGACTACTACGAGCAGGTGGATGGAGTGTCTTACCGCAAAGCCATCTTCATTTTTCTTAGGTGAGTAGGAGTTTCCTGGGGGACACATACACTTTTCATTGCTAGAATGAAGTTCTGGCAAGCACCAGCATTTTGTTTACCAGTAACAAAAGCAGCAGCTTGGCAAAAGTCACTTGCCTACTTCTTTATTTTTGTTTGCCAGTTTCAGCATGGCACAGAACATGGGCAGAAGAAATGAGCTAAAGAAATAATTACTGGCTCAGCGCCTGTAGCTCAGCGGCTAGGTCACCAGTCACGTACACTGGAGCTGGTGGTTTCGAATCCGGCCTGGGCCTGCCGAATAACAATGACAACTACAACTAAAAAATAGCCGGGCATTCTGGTGGGCACCTGTAATCCCAGCTACTAGGGAGGCTGAGGCAAGAGAATTGCTTAAGCCAAAGAGTTGGAGGTTGCTGCGAGCCATGAGGCCACAGCACTCTACCCAGGGCGGCAGCTTGAGACTCTGTCTCTAAAATAAAAAAAACAGAAATAATTACTGATAACGAGCACTTTTATTGACTGCACAATTTGTTTCTAAGGGCAATAAAAAGCCAGAGCTTTGGCTCGGCGCCTATAGCTCAACTGGCTAAGGCGCCAGCCATGTACACCTAAGGTAGCGGGTCCGAATCCCCAGGCCAGACCCGCCAAAACAACAATGACGGCTGCAACCAAAAAATAGCTGGGCGTTGGCAGGCGCCTGTAGTCCCAGCTACTTGGAGGCTGAGGCAAGAGACTCGCTTGAGCCCAGGAGTTGGAGGTTGCTGTGAGCTGTAATGCCACAGCACTCTACCCAGGGGGACAGCTTGAGGCTCTGTCTCAAAAAAAAAAAAAAAAAAAAAGCCGGAGCTTTATCGCAGCAAGCTCTAAAGACACAGATATTAAGTTCCTTCAGGACCGACACTCTTTTTTTTTTTGTCTAGTAGCACTTAATAAATACTCCTTGATTAAGAATAAACCTTGGAGGTCCATCTTACAAGAGTACATGTGACTCTTTCTAAATGTAGAATATAAATGTCTTAACACAATAACTAAGAAAATGCCATGAAGGCTATGTTAACCAGTTTGGTGAAAATATTTCAAATTGTATATAAAACCAGCACACTATACCCCATGATTGCATTAATGTACACAGCTATGATTTAATAAAAAAAAAATAATAAAAAAAGGAATAAACCTTAGAGGTGGTTCATTTCGTGGTAAGACACAGAAATCTTAATATGTGATTTTAATTTTTGCTTCTCTGGTAAATTCAGTAATGCAGGTGGTGATCTTATAACTAAGACGGCTCTTGACTTTTGGCGGGCAGGAAGAAAGAGGGAGGACATTCAGCTGAAGGACCTGGAACCTGTGCTGTCTGTCGGGGTCTTCAATAATAAACACAGTGAGTCCACAGGGGTGAGGAGCCTCTTAACTCTGCCAGCAGACAGCCATCTGTTCTCTCATTGAGCATTTCCCAAAGCCACAGATTCCTGCTCACCTCTGCGGTTTTGCTAAAGTAGGGAATTTTCTTAGGGAAATCGTATTCTAGAAACCAGTTGAGCAGAGTTTCCAGCTGAGTCTTAAGTCAGCTTTCTGCACACTGACAAAAAGACTCTCTGGGCTAGGTACAGGGACATGTCTGTGATCTTAACAGTCTGGGAGGCTGAGGTGGGTGGATAGCTTGAGGGTAGGAGTTTCAGACCAGCCTGAGCAAGAGTGAGACCCTGTCTCTACTTAAAATAGAAAAATTAGCTGATGGTATGGCAAGGGCATATAGTCCCAGCAACTCAGAAGGCTGAGGCAGGAGGATCACTTGAACCCAAGAGTTTTAGGTTGCTATGAGCTATGATGCCACGATACTCTACCCAGGGTGACAGAGTGAGACTCCATCTCAAAGAAAAACAAAAAAAAAATTGTGAAGGAATCAACATGTAATGAATGTGCTGTGGGTCTGGGTCAGGATCAGAGTGGTTCTGTAAGAGCTTGGCCAGGTGGCAGTGATGGGCAGGAAATGTAGCTGTGTCTTGCTTTGCAGGTGGCCTGTGGCACAGTGGACTTATCGACAGAAACCTCATTGACTACTTTATCCCCTTCCTGCCCCTGGAGTACAGACACGTGAAGATGTGTGTGAGAGCTGAAATGAAGGCCCGGGGCTCTGCTGTAGATGAAGACGTTGTGACAAGAGTAGCAGACGAAATGACATTTTTCCCCAAAGATGAGAAAATCTACTCAGATAAAGGCTGCAAGACTGTGCAATCACGGCTAGATTTCCACTGAGCTCTTACCTAGATGGGTTAAGAGGCACCTGGGAGGCTCAGCACCTGGGGCCTTGCCTTTCAGAAACACTTTGAAGACCTCTGCAGGGTTTTGCACATTTGCACATACGACCTTTTGGGATGAAAAATTTGCCAGAAGTGAAGCCTGAAAATATGGTCATCTGTCCCATCCACCTATCTTGTAACGTAACAGCAGTCGAGCTCTTTGCAGTCAAAGATGAACTTTTAAAACCTCCTTCACGCTTACCATTACTCTTGACAAAAGTGCCTGAAAACAGCTGTGTCAGGGAGGCTCAGGGATCCTTTGTGACCCATAGTGCCCACACTCAGAAGCTCCATCAGGACTAAAGAGGAAGCTGAGGAGCATTCACCCACTGAAAGCATTCTTTAGCTGTTGGGTTTTCTTTACACAGAGAGCCTTTGCTGACTTGAAGAATTTTCAGAGTTGCTGGTGCCTACAGGATAGGCATCTTTGGGGGGTGTGGCCTGCATGCTGAGTACCCTTGACCTGGCTGAACTCTCCTCTTGTGGGGTGGGGGTTCCATCTGAGGCCTCTGCAGTGGATGGGACAGATGGGGCCCTTCCTCTGTGCATTCTCTTGACTGCTGATCACAGCTCGTGATCCCTCGCCCCCTCCTTGTACCACCTCTCATCCTGAACTTCCTGGCTGTATCGTAGAGCCGATCTGAATGAGACCATTGAGTTTGGATTTGAGTCCTTGGTTCCCATGGTGAGATGTTTGTTACTCTGTGTGTGTCAGTCTCTCACTTGACTCCAAAACCTTTTGAAGTCTGTAGGACACGCCCATTCTCCATGATTGACACCTGCCCAGATTGAGGGGACAGTTTACAGATTTTGCATTGCCAAAGAAGTAGGAGTGTTGAACCCTAGAAATGCTAGAGTTTTCAAGGATAAGTATTTTTTTTGTAATGTTTTTACTTCTGAATCTGAGATAATAGAAGTATAGGACATTGCTTATTTTAAAATATAGAAGGACACAAAATGGAATAATTATTTATTCCTTTCTCAGGTACTCTTAAATGGATGGATTTTTGTTGAATACGTGGCAACGTATGGTCATAATCATGGATCATACAAGGTCAGTCTGAAGTTGTGGCAGGTATTGGGTGTTACCTGATAAGGATACCCTTTGTGGCACCAGACTGGACCGTCCTGATCACGGGAAGTAAGACTTAGATGCCACCTGATGTGACTCATTCTGTGTCTCCTGTCATTACAGTGCAGCTGCAGACACATCATTAGAACCATGTGGCATTTTCACATGTAAAATATGGTAGTGTGCATTTATGACATGGAACTGCCTTATAGGGTTTCACACCTAGTCTTTAAAAAATGCCAAGGGAAGGCTTAAAATTTTAATACATATTCTCAAATTGGAGCTAAGTTACACTGCTTTTATAACCTTTTGGATATCTGATCAAGAGGAGACAAGACTTTCTCTGTTTACAATGATGCAATCAATAAACCCAACACGTGTTGGCCACCTTTGGACCGCCGTTACTGAGTGTAGGTTGGCCACGGCCAAGCCTCCCCCACTCTTTGTAAAATGTGGACAAGAGTTTGAATTGACCTGGATACAAAATAATAAAGCCTAAATTTTATGACATGAGTTGTCCCTTGCTAACTTTTTCCCCTAGTTTATTTGGTGACAAAAGTCTGGAATAAAAACTCTTCAACAGCTCAAGTGTTACTTACTGTCCCTGGACATGCAGGTGGGCAGTCTGTACATCACAGAGTCAGTATTTACGTTAAAGGCTATTATCCCCAAATATGGAGTTAAATTGGGTTAGGTGATGGACATTTTCGTCAGAAAATGGACTTCTGAAAAATATAGTGTGGCTGGCTGGGTGCCTGTGGCTCAAGTGGCTAAGGCACCAGCCACGGCGGGTTCGAATCCAGCCCAGGCCCACCAAACAATAATGGTGGCTGCAACCAAAAAAAATAGCCAGGCGTTGTGGCGGGCGTCTGTGGTCCCAGCTACTTGGAAGGTAGAGGCAGGAGACTCACTTGAGGAGCCCAGGAGTTAGAGGTTGCTGTGAGCTGTGATGCCACTGCACTCTCCCCAGGGGACAGCTTGAGGCTGTCTCAAAAAAAAAATACACTATGGCCATAAAATTCATGTGCAATATTGCCCATGGACTTTATGGCCACTCTGTATATTGGCCCAGTGTGGTGGGCAGATTGTTTGAGCTCAGGAGTTCAAGACCAGCTTGAGCAACAGTGAAACCCCATCTCTACTAAAAATACAAAAAACTAGCCAAGCATCATGGTGGGTGTCTGTAGACCCAGCTACTTGAGAGGGTGAGGCAAGATTGCTTGGGCCCAAGAGTTTCAGGTTGCTGTGAGCTATGATGCTACAGCACTACCCAGCTACCGAGGGTGACAAAGTGAGACTGTCTTAAATAAAAAATTAAAAATATATTCTTCACTTAATGGGTCTTTCTATATATTCTAAAATTAACATAGGAAGGAAACTGAGGCACTAGGAAAACACCACTCACCTTGACATTGTTAACTGAGTTCAGATGAGGAAACCTACCTGCCCCATCTTCCTTCCTCAAACTGGTAAGTGGAAATGTATCACGTTGATCCAGTCTCAGCTTAATCACATTTAACCTGATCTCTTACCTCTGGTCAGTGAATTGCTAACGTGGACCCACTTCATAGGACTAAAGATTCACTGACAGGACTAGTAAATTCAAACCTTCCTCACTCTTAGTTCCTCTTCAGAAGGTTCTCCAGACCCATGAGACCACCTTCTCGCTCTGGTTCTCAGGCTGATACAGTTTTTACTCTTCCCCAAACTGCCTCATCTACAAAGACTAAGCTTTCCAAATTGTCAGGGGGCTCCTAGGTGCCAGGGCTGCAATTTTCCAATGAGCAACTAGACCTAATCTGACCCCTGGGGACATAACAGGCCAGCTTCAACTGGGTGCCAGGAGCTTTCTAAGACTTGGAGCCTGGGCCACCCTAGAAGAGCCCCATTCTGGCTGGGGAGTGATAGGCAGAGGGTCCTGCCTCAGACCTGCAGCTGCAAAGGTGTCCCTGCCTTCACCCTAAAATAGGGTGACCAGATTTTAACATTTGTAAAGCGGGACAACACGGTGGGGGTGGGGCCTGACAACAATGCAAACTTTGATAAGCAGTTCTCGATAATCACTTCTCAACAATTATTTGTTATTATTACAGTTTAACATTATAAAATTAACAAAAATAATATAAAACTCATATTCTGGCGAAATAGCCACATGGCAGCCAAAAACCGTATATCCCCTTCCTTTTCTCCTGCCCGTTCGTGCATTCTTGCCAAAAATCGGGACTTTTTAAAAACGCCGCGGGACGCAGGACAAATTGTTAAAAAGCGAGACATCTCGTCACCCTACCCTAAAAGCACCATGCCCACAGGAGCCCTGCCCTTTTTGGGCACATGCAGGTTGCACAGAACAGGACGTTGTCTCCCTCAGCCCCTTCTGGTTCTGGAGCTCCATGAACCTGGGTAACAGAATTCCGGGGCAGCTGGGTGAGGGGCCAGAGCTGTCCTAGGGACCTCAGAGTCCTACGTGACACTGTGTTTGTTCTGTTCCAACCTGCACTGCATCTGCTAGGCCGTCACGGCCCACAGTGGAGGGTTTCTCTCCCCCTGAAAAGATGTACTCACAAGTTTCACACATGGAATTTTATTACAAAGTGGCATCTGTCTGCATTTATAAATAACACCGTTCTCAGCATCCTCTGAAGGGGCTGCTAAATTTTCCTAGGTTGGGGAGTCCTGATTTAACATAAACTACTGATAAAGGAGGCAAAACATTCAATACAGCAAAGTTTGCATGTGATCTTGAATCCAGTGGAGAGCAGCCACTGCTCCTTCTGGAAGGGAAAGCAGAGCCAGGCCCGCTTTTGCAGAGCCAAGTACTGCCAAATGACAGGCTGGAAATGCTTTCCTTTCAAAAGACTCTGGCTCTAACAAATGTTCACAACATTGCTAAGACCATCCCTTGGAAAGGGCTTTTCAGGTTTGTGGTGCCTGAGCATGTCCTATTGCCTGTCCCTTTATTAACCACTGCACTGCCACTGGCAGCCTGGCTCTGGTCACCTGGCCCAGGTCTGACTAGTGTTCCAGCCATGTCCCCAGGAATGCCATCCTCTGGAATAAATGCCATAAGCTCGTGTGTGGGCTTGTTTACAGTTAAGATATAACACAGTGTATGTTACAATGACAGGGACATTTAAGAAACACACAAAGCTGACAATTTAGAATCTGAGAAGTTTCTCATAATGTTAAAAACCATTTTAAATAAAGTTATCACATTTTTAATAAAACTTATTCATCCTTCCTTGAAACAGAAACACGTGAAATTAAAACATAATTTTTTAAAAATCATGAGCCCTGGCACTCTGGGAGGCTGAGACAGGCAGATCATCTGAGCTCAGGAATTCAACACCAGCCTGAGCCAGAGCAAGACCCCATCTCTAAAAAATAGCTAGGCTTTGTCGTGGGTGCCTATAGTCCCAGCTACTCAGAAGGCTAAGGCAAGAGGATCACTTGAGCCCAAGAGTTGGAGGTTGCTGTAAGCTATGATACCACAGCACTCTACTGAGGGCAATAGTGAAACTCTGTCTCAAAAAAAAAAAAAAAATCATGACCCCTGGAATGAGCGTGCTGGGAGCCCAGAAAGCTCTGGAGGCTTTGCATCCACGTCCATGGTCCTAAGGTCCTGATGAGCGCCCTAACACGGGGACTGGAACGTTCCTTTCACTCCTCTCCCGGGGAAAGGAGCCTGGAGGCATGGCGAGGCACTAAGTGCTGTTTCTTCAACTCGGAGCAGACTCCCAGGCTGTCAGTCATCGTAATAATAATCTAACTTGGTGAACACGGTTTTGCAGCCTTTGTCAGAGAAAACTCTCTCCTCCTTGGGGAAAAATGTCATCTCGTCAGCCACTCTGCTGACAATGTCCTCGTCAATTTCATAGCCTCGGGCCTGCATTTCAACTCTGATGCACATTTTTAGGTGCTTATACTCCAGCGGGAGGAAGGGGACAAAATAATCAATGAGGTTCCGGTCAATTAAGCTGCTGTGCCAGAAGCCACCTGGGGAAAGAAACAAGGTGCTGCTTACTCCCATCCATCCACACCACCCACCACACTCTGGGGGTGTCACCTGCACCCTGGCTCCCTGAGGCGGGGATGCTACTAGGTGAGCCCACTGACATCTCCATGTTGATACCTCTGTGACGGCAAAGGGCATGGTGACTCGACAGAGTGGAACGGGACACCTTCCTCATACTGCCAGCTTGGCAGTGCCTTAGAGATGGTAGGTGGGAAAGGTTCAGAGCAGAGGCAAAGTGGAGAAAGACACAGATTCACAAGCTGCCAGTTTCAGGAGAGTGACAGTGAGAAGGGATCCAGGCGAGACTACCAGCCAGGGCTCCTGACTCTCCTTGATGTGCTACAGTTGTGCCAGCCCCTGCAGAACAGCTGGGGGACCCAAACCAGACTCCAGAGTGACAGTGTGAAGACACTGCCAAATCTGAGCACAGGGCATGGACTTCGCCAGTGTCACCAACCCCAGGTGAGGACTGGCTATGTTCCTGCCCAGGCCGCTGCTCCTGGTTTCCAGGACTCTAGAATCAGAACCTGCTCCTTTCTAAGATGACACGGTACCCACTGGGTCATCCATGAATTGGGCTGTGTCTTCATGCAAAGTGTTTTCCTTTCACTTTGCTACTTAAATCTGAGACTCAGCTCCCTGATGTGAACTTCTTAATGCCTGAGGTTCCTGCTTTTCATCCCCAATAGTGCTTTTCACACAGATGGTGCTCAGTAAGTATCTGGCTGACCCGACTGGGTGGAGGCTGTAGATTGTGAACAGTGACTTGCAGGATAGCTCCTACTTCTCTGGAGCCCAGAAGGACAGCTCACCCTTGAAGGCCCACTGCATGCTGGGTGAGGAGACCCCACCAAACCAGTAGATGCTGTGTTTCCCCCAAAATAAGATCTACCCCCAAAATAAAAGCCCTAGCAGGATTTCTATGCATTTGTTAAATATAAGCCCTACCCTGATAATAACACCTAGTGATGGGCATGGCTATGCAGATATGCTGCATAGCCACGCCGTGCATTTCAGCGAGGAGCAGAAAGGAAGACTGGAATACCTTTTATCTGCCACAGCTCCTTTCTCTGAGCCATTTGCATTTGCGCCAGTAGTAACCACGGTTGCAGGTGTCCCATTGCGCACGTGCGAACGGCTAGGGGAAAGGAGTTCTCACATCACTAGCTTGAGCCCCACCAACAAGGTCAGCTCCCCTTGTCACGTTCCAGAAGAAGATGACTTAACTGTATTTGAATAAATGTAAATTGTTGTATTATATTTAATAAAAATAAGACATTCCCTGAAAATAAGCCCTAGTGTGTCTTCTTGAGAAAAAATAAGTCTAAGACAGTGTCATATTTTCGGGGAAACATGGTAAACAACTGCAGACACAGAGAGGCATCCAGGGAGCAGGCAGCTGGCCTAGGGGCCAGATGGACAGGCACGGTAAGGGTACCGGCTGCCTCTGAGCAGAACCTGAATGATGAGAGCCTGGTCATGTGGAGGCCAAGTGGAGTACTCTGGCAGCACAAAGGACCCCACCATCTACTACTAACTCCCAAATCTGTCCCCTCAGCCTGAATGCTTCCCAGAGCTCCACTGGAAGGTCTGACTACCTGCCCCCACATCCCTGCTCAGATGCCCCAAACATGTCATCTCTGAGCACACCTGTCCCACAAACCTGTCCTTCCCCTCTCTGTTCCACTAAATGGCAGCACCCCGCTTCTAATCACTCAAGCTGGATGCTTGATCCTTCTCTCTCATTCCCCATACAATCCTGCAGGACATTTTCCTGTTTCTAACTCCAAAATGTACCCGGAATCCACTTTGTTTAACCACCCACCACTGCCACCCTGGGCCCCTGCCCCTCTAGTCTCGTCTCCACCCAGCAGCCAGCAAGGTCCTGCTAAGCCTGTCAGATGGGGCCACTGCCTGCTCAGAGCCCTGCAGAGGCATTCTTCACTTGGAGTAAAACCTCTGGCACACCAGGCTTTCCATGACCTGCACCCGCCCCAAATCTTACCTTCCCTCTCACCTCCCACTCCCCTCCTGTTCATCCTGGTCCAGCCACAACAACCTCAAGCACATGCCCACTCAGGGTCCTCATACTAGAACGGAGGCTCTACAAGGGCAAGAAGTGCTCTTTGGTACACTCGATGTTCTGGGTCCCCGGACCCTGCCTGACACCCAGCAGATGCTCAGTCAGTGTTTGTTGCATAAATGTTCAGCCACGACCTGAAGCCTGCCAACCACATCTGCTCGTGCCCCTGAATGGCTTTGTAACCTCCCACCATGCGGGTTCTAGGTACCTGGCCTCACCTGCCACAGCGTTAGGCTAAGGTTTCTGTTTCCCATGCTCATATTTTTGGCATGCTGACAAACTACCTAACTTATTACATACTACTTGTCTTTGCTTGTGCACAAATCTACATAAAATACCCCACACTGTTCACTTGACCCAAGTATGAACTTTATTTTTTTTTGAGACAGAGTCTCACTTTGTTACCCTTGGTAGAGTGCTGTAGCATCACAGCTCACAGCAACCTCCAACTCTTGGGCTTAAGCAATTCTCTTAAGCAACTGCTTAAATGCTTAAGCAATTCTCAGACTCCCAAGTAGCTGGGACTACAGGCACCCACCACAACGCCTGACTATTATTTGTTGCAATTCTCATTGCTGTTTTAGCTGGCGGGGGGCCAGGTTTGAACCCACCACCCTTGGTATATGGGGCTGGCACCCTATCCACTGAGCCACAGGCACTGCCCCAAGTATGAACTTTTTGGCTAGTCTCTTTTAAATGAGACCTTTTGTTTTGCTACCTCAAGAACCAGAGCAAAGGTGTGGACAACCATCCTGCCCAACTTCAGTCAGCAAGTCAGACTCCCTCATGACGGCTCACCACCTCCCAGGCTCAAAAGTCTCAAGATATTCCCCAGAAAAGCAGTGAGTTGAAACCTAAAAGCTCAGAATCAGGGACACTGACCAAGCCACATGGCCCTGGGCAAGCTGCTCCATCTCCTTGCTTTTCTGTCTCTGCCCTATCAGATTACGATGATGAGTAAATGGAACTGGCAGGCAGGGCTTCCCACAGTGCCTAGCATACAGCAGGCCCAGCCACCGTATGGCTGTTGTTCTCAGGTAGTGCAAAAAAAGGGAGGGACCCAATAGGCCACCTCCTCCCCTGCGCAGCCCACAGCAGCCTTCTTTCTTCAACCACTTGCTTTTTTTCTACCAAGAAAATCATTTTCCTAAATAAAAGGAACTGATTTTTAAGATCTTGGTCTATTGAGCTATCTATTGCGGTGGCGCCTGTGGCTCAAAGGAGTAGGGCGCTGGCCCCATATACCAGAGGTGGCGGGCTCAAACTTGGCCTGGGCCAAAAACCGCCAAAAAAAAAAAGAAAAAAAAGAATTGCTGTCTATTTAAATTTTGTTGTTTGAGACAGAGTCTTGCTTTGTTGCCCAGGCATGAGGGCAGTGGCATGACCATAGTTCACAGCAACCTCAAACTCCTGAGCTTAAGGGATCCTCCTGTCTCAGCCTCCTGAGTAGTTGAGACTATAGGTGCTCACCACCATGCCTGGCTAATTTTTAAATTCTTTGTAGCAATGGGAGTCTTGCTGTCTTGCTTAGACTTGTCTTGAACTCCTGACCTCAAGTGATCCTGCTACCTTGGCCTACCAAAGTGCTAGGATTACAGATGTGAACTACTACGGCTGGACTACATTTTTTTTTAATTACAGAGCCAGGGTCTTGCTATTTTGCCTAGGCTGGCCTCAAACTCCCAGCCTCAGGCACAAGCCACCATGTCTGACTGCCTTTTATTTAAAACAGTGCTTCTCAAACTTTAGTGTTCTGAAGTTACCTTGAGCTTGTTAGCACAGAATCTCTTCAGGAATTCTAACCAAGGAAGGGACTGGGAATTCACATTTCTTTTTTTTTTTTTTTTTGAGACAGAGCCTCAAGCTGTCCCCCTGGGTAGAGTGCCGTGGCATTACAGTTCACAGCAACCTCCAACTCCTGGGGTCAAGCAAGTCTCTTGCCTCCGCCTCCCAAGTAGCTGGGACCACAGGCGCCCGCCACAACGCCTGGCTATTTTTTGGTTGCAGCCGTCATTGTTGTTTGGCGGGTCCGGGCTGGGGATTCGAACCCGCCACCTTAGGTGTACGTGGCTGGCGCCTTAGCCGGCTGAGCTATAGGCGCCGAGCCGGAATTCACATTTCTAATCAACTGCCAGGTGATGGAGAGGGAGACACTGATGCTCTAACACTTGGGTGCAGGATTAGGATCAGGATGGGGTAACAGATGGCCCTACTTACTGTTCTTGTTATTGAAGACTGACACAGACAAGGCATGCTCAATGTCTTTGAGCTTGATTTCTTCCCTCTGCTTTCCATTCCTCCAGAAATCTAGAGCCACATCTGTGATCCTTTCTGCGCCAGCATTGCTGTAAGACAGTTCCAGTGAGCAAGGACTAGGTTTCTCTTGGAGCCCCCAGGCTCAGGCTCAGGCCCCTTCAATCACGTCCTGGCCCTGACCTTACCTGAGAAACATGAAGATGGCTTTCTGGTAGGAGACCCCATCCACCAGGTCATAATAGTCTAGGAAGGGCTTGATGGCATCGATGAGGCCTGCGTGCATTTTATCCATTTCATCAAATATGAAGATGGACCTCGCGCAAGCACTCACGTTGCCTCGAATCCACAACTGTAACTGATCCTGAATTATAAGGGGAAAAGTCAACACAAAGTTCTTAGCAAGGGCTATCAAAACAACTTTCTCCCACCAAGAACAATAGCTGCACTTTAATCAAAGCCCCCACATTTTTTTTTTACTGAGACAGGGTCTCACTTTGTCACCCTTGGTAGAGTGCCATGGCATCATAGCTCACAGCAACATCAAACTCTTGGGCTCAAGTGATCCTCTTGCCTCAGCTTCCCAAGTAGGTGGGACTACAGGTGCCCGCCACAATGCCTGGCTATTTTTAGAGACGGGGTCTCACTCTAGCTCAGGCTGGTCTCGAACTCCTGAGCTCAAGCAATCCACCTGCCTCAGCCTCCCAGAAAACCCCACACTTTGATTATAATTCCTATGTTGCAAGATAACACATGGATGCTATGTCAGAGTTGCTGGTCTTTTGTCATCATGGCAATGTCAACACATATCCTGTGCTCTAGTCTTCTTGGCAGGGGGCAAAGACCAAGTGATCCCCACTCTCATTCAGTCCACGGGACATCCTGGAGCAGGTGCTGCGACTGTCCGATGGGAAAAGCAGTGAGCATAGGCTCACTGAAAACAGCGCTCACATGCTTTGGGATGAGCCTGGGGAGATGACACTCAAGTTCCTGGAACAATACCTAGAGGTTTCTGAAGTAAATTCATCTAACCAGAAATTTTCCCTAAGAACATATATTTTGTTCTTCTTCTCCTGCTCCTGGACATAAGAACAAATTTGCATACTTCTTATGATACTAAGCAATCAAGGTAGGGAGAAAAGACTTTTGGAAGCTTTCAGAAAATGGAAAACCTATTTACTCCATAGATTTTTTTCCCCTCACAGTGAGGTAGGGAAATTAACTTTTTGTTTTCTAAAACGCTGAAAGTTACAATGTAGGTCTTAACCTACTATTATTTTGGCTACTATGACACATGGTTACAATGTTCCAGGTGAGTATCTAATCCAAACACAATTCTGCTCTGCATTTACAGACCTGCTGGGCTACAACTGCCAAGTTCTCCCACTCTGCTATGCTGGTTGGCACCCAACAGCAGAGCACATGCACTGTAACCACTGTTCACATAATACTTAACTGTGACCTCCCAAACCCACCAAGGTGTACCTTCTTTTATAGATTTGGAAACTGAGGCACAGAGATAGTAAAAACCTTGCTCAAAGTCAGTTATTAATGTTAGTGGAGCCACAATCCTAACTAGGATGACCAACTAATCTTGATTTCCCTAGAACTTTCCCTTTTTTAGAGTTTTTTGTGGCAGAGTCTCATTTTGTCACCCTTGGTAGAGTGCCGTGGCATCACAGCTCACAGCAACCTCAAACGCTTGGGCTCAAGTGATCCTCTTGCCTCAGCCTCCCAAGTAGCTGGGACTACAATGCCTGCCACAACGCTTGGCTATTTTTAGAGATGGGGGTCTCAGTCTGGCTCAGGTGGTCTTGAACCTGTGAGCTCAAGCAATCCACCTGCTTCAGCCTCCCAGAGTGCTAAGATTACAAGTGTGAACCACAACGCCCGGCCTCCTTTTTTAACACTATGAGTGCAGCATCCCAGGAACCACTGGACACTTGGTGATAGTCACCCGGCAGAAGGAAAAAATGTATTCACACGAGTGACTGTTTTGCCCACATTTTAGGTCTGTTACACAGATCCTAAAAGGCAATAGTTAATTTATTTGAACATTTATGTGCCAGGAACCAGCTAACATTATTTGACTGGCAGAGCTCATTGAATTTCATAAGCATCAAGTTGTAATGAAGAACCTCAATCTCAGAGAGGTCAAGCCACCTTCCCCAGACTACAAAAATGCTGGTGAGAGTTAGGACTCAAATCTAGGTGTATCTGCCACCAAAGTCCAGACCATTCATCAGTGAGTTAAACTACACAAGCAGTTTGCAACAGTCAAATTAAACAAACCTAGCCCCTCTAGAAATGTTTCCTCTTTCACAAAATGAGTATAGCCTTTAATTTAGATTACGTCCATATCTAAAATTTTATAATACAACTTACTCAACTGAGTATGACTGGGCCTATTTTCAGACACCTCCACACAGCTTTCATGATGTGAATGCCCTGTGCATCTCAAACCCTCTGTAACCTCACCTCCCACTTCTCAAAGGGGAACTGACACATGGAGCCATTTTCAGGGCTCACTCATTCCAGCATGGAATTCCCAAGTCCAATCCCACAGCAAAGGAACCTCAAACCCAACGTCATCCAGGAAGGACTCCAAATGACTGCCCTTGCCTTGTACAGGGTGATGTTCGAAGCATGTGGAAAGTGTAGTGTGGCCACAAACAGATGGACATAGTCACTGTTCAGACCACCCTCGTAAATATTCTCTGCGATGATCTTGCTGACAAAATTTTTGCCAGTGCCTGTCCACCCGTGCAGGGAGAGGGTGAGAGGCTTCTTGGGCTTTGGGTTGTTTATGAAACCAGACACAGCATTTAAGATGATTTTCTTTGCAAGATGCTGTCCAAAGAGCTTGTTGTCCAGATCCTTCTGCAGCGCTGGGAAAGACAAAGCCAGTCAGAAGGGGATATAAACAGCTGGCAAAACGTAGCCACATTTACAGGCCCATGAGAAAGCCAGCTAAAGCCAGCTAAGCACCTTGTGAAATGCGGAAGTATGGTGAGCTGTAAGCACTTGGCCAAGAGGGGAACCGTGGTCCAGGGAGCCCTCCCTTTGCCGGTCCTGCCTGTTCTAAAGCCCTGGCGTTGCTCCTTCCTGAGACAGGCCCAGGGCTCCACTGCACCAACCAACAGTTTGCACTACTAATCCCTGCGTGGTTCCTCACACTCCAAGGCAAGGGCGCAGCTTGGCCATCTCTGCATCTCGGCTCCGGAAGGGTCCCCATCATCCTTCCTATCACCAACTAGGAAGGAAGCTGAACTCTCTTCAGAGGAAGTTTACAACCGGTAGACCCCTAGTTCTGTGTGGATCAGCCCAACCTGCAGCTCGTCTCCCCAGACCAAAGTCCGGCCTATCCGTGGTCGTGGCCAAAGAGCCAGGCCCCATCCTACAGCCCGGGCTGCTCGATTGCCGGGGACGGGTCCTCTCCGGGCTGGGCTCTGCCCCGCCCCAGCCTTCCAGGGACCTTAACCCCCCAGCCCAGCCGGCCCTCATGCCAGCCCCCAGCCCGGACCCAGCCTACCCTCCCGGCTGAGGCTCCGCTTCTGACCGCAGCACTCGGTGAAGAGGCAGTAGAGGCGTGGGTAAATGTAGCCGGTGAGGACGCCGGCCAGGGCTAGACCCAGGCTGATGGGCTCCACCGCCCGCACCACCAAAGGCGCCAGCAGCAGCAGGCCCAGCGCAGCCCGGCCCAGCTTCATACCCGGACCCGCGCCGCCCAGCGCGTTCTCGCGCCGACCGCGCGCACCCGTGCTGCCGCCAGTCCCGCTTCCGGTTCCTCTCGTCGCGCAGGCATCTTCGTCGTTCGGGGCATGTCTTTTTCCGCCGCCCTAGGCTGCCATCTTTCTTCCGGGCAGAACCCTTGTTTGCTTGTGGGTTCTGGTAACCTCCTGTCAGCCATGGAGGGTTTTTTTACTTTTTTATTTATTAAGAGACAGTCTCACTCTGTCGCTCTCGGTAGAGTGGTGTGGCCTCCTAGCTCACAGCAACCTCCCGCTCTTGGGCTCAGTGTATTCTCCCGCCTCAGCCTCCCGAGTAGCTGGGACTACGGGCGCCGCCACAACGCCCCGCTATTTTGATGTTGTTGTTGCAGTTTGGCCGGGGGCCGAACCTGCTACCCTCAGTATCTGGGGCCGGCGCCTTACCCACTGAGCCACAGGCGCCGCCCTGCCATGGGGTTTTTTTTTTTTTTTTGAGACAGAGCCTCAAGCTGTCCCCCTGGGTAGAGTGCCATGGCATTACAGCTCACAGCAACCTCCTGCCCCTGGGCTCAAGCGAGTCTCCTGCCTCCGCCTCCCAAGTAGCTGGGACCACAGGCGCCCGCCACAACGCCCGGCTATTTTTTTGGTTGCAGCCATCATTGTTGTTTGGCGGATCCGGGCTGGGGATTCGAACCCGCCACCTTAGGTGTACGTGGCTGGCGCCTTAGCCAGTTGAGCTATAGGCGCCGAGCCATGCCATGGAGTTTTTAATGGCTTTTTTGGTGGTGGTTCACGTGCGTGCATTCATTCATTCATTCATTCACGGAGTCTCACTTTGTCGCCCTTGATAGAGTGCTGCGGCATCCCAGCTCACAGCAACTTCCAACTCTTGGGTTCAAGCGATTCTCTTGCCTCAGCCTCCCGAGTAGCTGGGACTACAGGCGCCGCCACAATGCCCAGCTATTTTTAGAGATGATGTCTCGGTCTAACTCAGGCTGGTCTCGAACTCGTGACCTCAGGCAATCCTCCCGCCTCGGCCTCCCAGAGTACTGGGTACAGGTGTGAGGAGTCACCGTGCCCAGCCCTGGTTGTTTGCTTTTTAAAATAATAGATTTTCTTTTTTTTTTTTTTCAAGAAAAGTTTTAGTTTTACAGAAAGGTTGAGAATAATACAGAGTTCCCATATACCACCCGTGCAAAATTTCCCCATTACTAAAATCTTACATTAGTATGCCACATGTTACAATTAGTGAAACACTGTTGCTCAGTTATTATTAACCAAAGTCCATAGTTTATTCAGATTTCCTTAGTTAATGTCTTTCTGCTCCAGGTTTCCACCCAGGGTACCACATTACGTTTAGTCCTCACGTCTCCTTAGACGCCTCTGAACTTTGATCATTTTGAGAAGTACCAGAGCCATCTTTTGTAGAATGCCCCTCTTCTGGATCTTGTCTGATATTTTTCTCATTACTAGACCAGGGCTGTGTGTTTGGGGAGGGAAGATCATAGAAGCAAAGTGCTGTTTTACCAAGTGCACCATGGACATGACTCACCACTGTGGTTGGAAGGAAATCACTAAGCATAGCTCCCACCTAGAGCGGAGAGTTTTGCTCCACCTTGAGGGCAAGCCATCCACCCCTAGTTCTGTGTGGAGGAGCTCAACCTGCAGAAATTATCTGGAATTCTTCAGCATAGGATATTTGTCTCTTCTCCCCATTTATTGGTACATTCCACTATTTATATCAGTATGAACCCATGGTTATTTACTTTATACTTTGGGTGATAATACAATACTATTTTTTTTTCCTCATAAAGTGTTCCCATTTTGGCCATTGGGGGTTTCACTTGGTTCCTTGTGCTCTTTGGACATGTACCCAGTATGTATCAATGTTTATTTAGGTTAGTGTTTTGTTTTGAACACTCCATTACTTCTGGCACCCAGAATACACGCTCATCTTGTGCATTTATTTCTGGTACCCAGTGATACACGCTCATCTTGTGTATTTTTCTGCCCCAGTTTTTGAATCAGCATTCCTATAAGGAGCCCTAGTTCCTTTTACTGGGAATGGTATTAGAAACTAAAATCTGGAGGGATTACTTCTGAGGTTTACCTTATAGGGGTACAGGTGAATCTTTCTAAGAGTAGTGTGAATGTTTTAGAGCAATAACTGAGAAAATGACATGAAGGCTGTGTTGACCAGTTGATGGAAGTATTTCAGATTGCATGTGAAAACCCCACACTGTACCCTAGAAGTGCATTAATGTATATAGTTAC